AATAACCAAGGCATAAATTTACCCACTCGATGCCAAAGTTAATTAACACACAATCAGACACCAGCACATACACCTTAGACCAACTAAAAAACTAAAGAAGAGAAATAAAGAAGACAAAAAAAAAACTTTGCAATAATCACAAAACATACGTCGGCACTTCAATGCGCGAGAATGCACCGAAATTAGCCAAAATACAAAAAGTAAAGGAGAAGAGGAAAAGCCAAGAAAAACAGAAATTAAAGTTGTAAGATTACAACAGTAGCAGCAGATTGCCGCTGAGCTGTGTGTGTGTGTGTGTGTTTGGTTTTTGTTTTTTTTGGCTTCTTGTTGGCTTGGTTGGCAGAGGAGTCAGCCAGCCAGCATGCCATGTGAACCAATTTGTGGCATCAATCTCAGGCGTGATGTGAAATTGGCCAAGACGACTAACTAAATGAATCGCGGGAATGGCATTAGTTATTCTGCCTCGGATCACTTGACTCCTCCATTTGGGAGGTGACTGTGATGCAACTCTTTTCTCGAAATATTTTACCCACTAATTGTATGCTAAAATGATTGATAAATGCATTGGCTGAGTCACCATACGTTAGTCATCTATAAAATATCTGCAAGTCGCGGCAAGTCATTTGGTCATTGTTGGCAAATTAGGTAAATATATATGTTCCAAATAACGTATCCTGCTAGACATTTTAGCATCAAGTTACTTTCAAAAATCAACTTGTAGTGCCTGGCTATGGCATTTAAACAATCAATAAAACAAAGTTATATCATTAATTACAAAAAATTATAGCAAGCCAATAAACTTGCAATAAAAAAAATATTTTATTTATAATTTACAAGAAATAAAAAAAGCCAAAGGCTTTTCGATTGAATTTTTAACTATATTACAACATTTAAAAACATTGCCTCAACACAAATTTTGTATTTTAATTGTCTTACATTTTAAAATAAATAACCATGATATAAGCTAAAAGTAATTTCTACAGTAGGTAGTTAAAAAAATTGTAAAAGAATAAATCTCCAAATATAGTGATACCACAACACCCAAAGAAAAATCGCATAGTAAATTTAACATTAAAATAATTGAATGATTCATAGTTTTTCAAGACATAAACATGTTTTTAGATAATGTAATTATTAACATTTTAATTGGTTTATCCAAAAGGAAAATTGTAGATTTAAATTTTTTTGAATTTAAAATTAAATTTGTATTATTATTATTATTATTTATATATTTATATCATATTTAATTAAAAGTGCAAATATTTGGATTCACCATGATTTTTTTCTGAGTACAGATAAAATTTAGCCAACAAATTATTTGCTATTAAAGAATGTTTAAATCTGCGAAAAGTGATCGATGAACATAGTTAAAGTCTATTAACCAACGGAATTAACTGCTAATACTATTGATTCGTCCTTGAGTGCCCATAAGTTTTAGTGCATTGATTTACACGAGTAATTTGCATGTACTGGGCCAAAGCTCTTAAAACTTTTCGTATATCATTTGTTTATGACAGCGCTAAGAGCGTTGTTTGCTGATTTTGTTAGAAAAAAAAACTCTGGTTGGGTTAAATTCAGTGATTCGACTTAGAAGGCCCAGCCCAAGCCAAAACTCACCTGAAGCACTTCCGCTGCACTTACATGCAGTCAGGCACTTGTTGTTGCCCAGAAACTTGGCAACGCCGCAAGTGAACGTCTGCCAAACAAAATGAACATATGAGTCGGGGTTTTCGCTTTTTTGGATTTTTTCTTACGATTTTTTGGATTTGTTTTTTGGGGCCCACTGCGGTCGCATCAATGACCAAGTCAAGCGTGTATTTTCGTGTGGGCCTCTTAGTATCTTGGCTTTGCGGATTTTCCTGGCCTAGCTGCAATTTGTCTCGTTATTGTTGTTCTACTCGTGTTTGTCTGTAAACCACAAAAGACAACCAAGAAAAACACGTAGAAAATTGATGGCAGAAAATCCGAAAATCAGAAAATCAAAATGCAGCGTAGATCGGCTCTAGCCGCCGTTGTCTAAGTCCAATCTAAACTAGTCGAGGCGTTTGCGGTGGCTTTTGCTTTTGGTTTTGCTTTTGGCTACCACAGAGTGCATTGACGTGTTGTTTGCATGTGCCCCCATACCCCCAGCCCCCAGCCACGCCCCCTTGCCACTTTACGCCCCAGTCTTCAAGCGGGTTTCGTTTTTTGGCTTTCTGAAGAATCGGCAACTAGCTGAAAAAAACAAGATTTTTTGTTTAATTTTGCTGTTTTTTTTTATTTTTTGTGTGTTTCTACTGTAGTATCTCGGCGAGTGCAATGCACTTCCCCCAGCAAAGTCTCCAGCTTCAGCTTCAGCGTCAGCTTCAGCTTCAGATAGTCGGGGCTGCACAAGTCGAGATCGAAAAGCTGCAGATATAGCCAGCAGATCCAGCCGAGTGAGGAGTAGGTAGGTAGGTTGGTAGTATAAGTGTAAGTGTAAGTGCAAGTATAGGTAGGTTGTTGTCGTCTCGGGAAACTGGGTCAATCACTGCTGCCTCGCTTCATGTTTCGGATTTTCTTACCATTGCCTCCTTCTGCCGGACGACGACGACGACTACGACGACTGGCTTTTTGGATGACGATGACGGCGCCAAATGAGTGTAAGTTGGCAACTATTTTATTGCTTTTTCATTTGCCTATTTCCAAGCGATGTTTTGCTGCACACCGAAAAAATGTGTGAGTGGTCAATACGATTGGAATAAGAAAAAATAAACTTATTTTTTTAAAGTTTCTAAAAAAAGTGATCTATTGGGGCTATATAATCAAATTATTTATTTAAAATAATTATTAAGTGTATCATAAGCTTAATCTGTTAAATTTGATAAGATTACTTCTTCAAGATAAAAACAATAAGTTTTTGCTGTTGCTAGTTGGATATTAATATTGGAAAAGTTTATTTAATGAACGCTTCATTTAAAAAAAAAGATTTGTGTTTTTAGTTCCTTTAATGTTACAATTATACACATAAACCACAGATGTTTTGTAGTTTATAAGTAAGATAAGATTTCTTTATATTGTACATGCAAAACCAAAGTTTTCAGAGTACAAAGCCAGACTGCATATAAACATAAATGTTTTTACTTAGTTAAAATATTCTATTTTCTACCAGTTAAAACAATAAGAAAAATCTATACATTTAGAAATCTTTCAGTGATTGAGGCTGTTGAATTTGCAGCCAGGGACTTACAGATTGATAAGGGTTTCTTCGGCTTCTGACTTGGCCTACTTTTCAGAGGCGGGTTCTCAGCTCCAGTAGGGGGACTTCCGCTCAGCATAAACCTTCCCTTTGACCTGTTGGACTGACATAACTAACGGTTAAACGCACTTTAACCGGTCACTAATGTGGCAGTCGGAAGAACGTGTTATAATGGTTTTTGCCGGCTCAAAAAAAGGTTCTCGACTCTCTGTTCTCGGTTCTCGTCGTCATTCAGAAAAGCCGGCCGGCTCATTCGATCAAAAACAAAAATAAAACTGGTTCTCTCTTGCATTTGCCTCTTCTTTCCGTTTTTGTTCCGTATGTCTGGGGTTTTGTTCTTAGCCGACTTTGTTATTGGCTGGTTTTTTATGTAAAGCTTTGTTTCTGTCACGAGACCGCTAAAGTCGCTTAATGTCTTTTAATTCTAGTGAATTGCCGCATATGAGGGCCGAGAGAGTCGGCTAATGGAAAGGTTTGTGCGACTCTGAGATCCGCTCGAGATTATAATGTTGGCTCTGCGCTTTTTTAATGCGTGTGGCAAGTAGATTTTTATGTGGAAAAAATTACAGTTAATTGGTTGGACTTTTCGAGAAAATTTAACAAACATATGAGTAAGACAAACTACTTTTTCTTTATTTATATAAAAATCATTGTCTTAAATGTTTTTGCCAAAAGGGTAAATACAAAAAGGAAAACAAATGACTAAGTCTTAATTTGTTTTAATTGTTGTAGGAGCTATACCAGTTAAACCCATGGAAAATTAGTTCATTCTTGGGAATTTTATTTTAAGAAAGTAATCGATAAAATGTCTTGTTGTTGTTTTGTCTTAAGATTTTTTTTTCAAATATGTTGAAATGTAGCACTGCTATGTGGTGTCTTCAGAGGTTAGAACAAAAAGGACTCAAACATGTCAAAAAGTGTGCTAAAAATAAAAATAGTTTTAATTTGGAACCGATCGTTGTTAAGTCATGATGTCCGCAATTTTTAAAAACGTGGTTTCGAGAAAAACGTGCTTAAAGTTTCCGAAGGAGATGCCTATGGCTGCAAGCGGTCACAGGATATTTAAAAAAAAGTAATACAAATAAAAAAAATGATTTTTAAAATACCCTATACTAAAATGGTCCCTTAAGGTTCTCAAGCTGGTTTAACCTTTTGCTTAAAAGAGAGCTGGTTTTCAAAAAATAAAGGCTATTTTAAATGAATGGTTAATAACTTTATAAGTTCCAGAAATAAATAAGTTGTTGATTTTATACCTTATCGAATTGATTTATAAGGATGCTACATTTTAAACATTTTTTTTACTATATAGAAAGCTTTCCATACCATTGGAGATTAAATAATAAAGAATTCTTAACGGTTATGTTGCGCTTTTTTAAACTGCTTGATCACGGCGTTGCCAGTCAGTCGGGCAGTTTCTTATATTACTTGCTATATTATTTTGATAGATGGCGCTACTCAACTCTACATCTTACGTTTGCGTACGGTCTTACACGTTATCTACATTCAAGTAAAATTCTACATTCAACCGTTTTTAAGCCATCTGGCAATGACATGCGAAACTGCCACTTGGCAGTTAAAAAACACAACGATGGTAAATATTCACTGGTTAATAGATTCAGCACTTAAAGTAATTAAAACAAGAATTAAAATCATTAATGTATTTATATCAATCAATCATGTTGAAACAATTTGCATACTTCATTGTTATATTAAACAGAAGTTTTTAAATAATAAAACTTAGTAACCCAAAGATAGTGTTTTCCCATAAGTCAAAGTCGGTTGATAATTTTAAATAAATTCCATTTATTATGTGTCAAAAATGTTTGCCATTATTAGTCATTTATTTGGGTAGAAATGTTTTGTTTATTCATATAAAACTACAAGAGAAAGTACTGCACACGAATACAAAGTGAATATATTGTGCCCTAAGATTATGTAAATACAATTGCGGATGCATTTTAGAAATTGCCTTTATTGGAGGATCTCATGAGAGTGGTCAATCGATTATCTTTGGATAAGCTCGTATCGTAAATAGCTCTAAATGTATGTATTGCCAAATTGTCTTAATGTCGTGTTGGACATTGGACACATCTCGAGAGTTCCGTATAAATTCGTTTTCCTTCGAAATACTAGATACTTGTGGTTCTCTATCTTGCTAACGTTGTTGCAATATAAATAATTGTATAAAAATGTAGTCAGTTAAAAGTAGGGGCTATGAAAAGTGCTGGTGAAAGATGGGTACAGTGGGGTGAAAATGGCTGCGAGAAATGCGATAGACGTGCCTCCGTGTAAAGTGTATGGCGTATAGCGTAGAGGACGGTGACAAAAGTGCCGAAAAATAGACAAAAAGATGAAGATGAAGATGAAGATGCGTGATGCTAGATGTGAGATGTGAGATGTGAGATGATGAATGAGTAATGGGGAATAGAAGAGGAAGCATGAGCTTTTGGAACATTTCCGTTTGATGTTCTAACTACGCTGGACCTTCCTGTCTGTCTGTCCGTGTGTCTGTGTGTCTGTCTGTCTGTCTGTCTGTGTGTTCGAGTGTCCTGTCTGTGTGCGATTGTAGTGGTGTGTGTGTGTGTATGTCCGATGGGGTCAAAGGATGCCGCAGTGCTTGGCCGCCAGCTGGTGCCGCATGCCGCGCAGCAACCGGACATCCCCGCCCTCACGCACGCCCCCCATTCCTCTGGCCACACCATTAAATACAATCGCCCTCGACCTCCTCCTGATTGACATCCGGATCGAACTCGTCGTCGGCGGTGGCCTCCTGGTACTGCTGGTACTCGGACACCAGGTCGTTCATGTTGCTCTCCGCCTCCGTGAACTCCATCTCGTCCATGCCCTCGCCGGTGTACCAGTGCAAGAAGGCCTTGCGCCGGAACATGGCCGAGAACTGCTCGGAGATGCGCTTGAACAGCTCCTGGATGGCCGTGGTGTTGCCGATGAACGTGGAGGACATCTTCAGGCCCTTCGGCGGGATATCGCACACGGCCGTCTTCACGTTGTTCGGGATCCACTCGACGAAGTACGAGCTATTCTTGTTCTGCACCGCCAGCATCTGCTCGTCCACCTCCTTCATGGACATGCGTCCGCGGAAGACGGCGGCCACCGTGAGGTAGCGACCATGGCGCGGATCACAGGCGGCCATCATGTTCTTCGCGTCGAACATCTGCTGGGTCAGCTCTGGAACGGTCAGGGCACGGTACTGCTGCGATCCCCGCGAGGTGAGGGGCGCAAAGCCGGGCATGAAGAAGTGCAGGCGTGGGAATGGAACCATGTTGACCGCCAGCTTGCGCAGATCGGCATTCAACTGGCCGGGGAATCGCAGGCAGGTGGTCACGCCCGACATGGTCAGCGAGACCAGGTGGTTCAGATCCCCGTAGCTGGGATTCGACACCTTCAGGGTCCTGAAACAGATGTCGTACAGCGCCTCGTTGTCGATGCAGTACGTCTCGTCCGTGTTCTCCACCAGCTGGTGGATCGACAGCGTGGCATTGTAGGGCTCCACCACGGTGTCGGATACCTTGGGCGACGGCACCACCGAGTAGGTGTTCATTATGCGGTCCGGGTACTCCTCGCGAATCTTCGAGATCAGCAGAGTGCCCATTCCGGAGCCAGTTCCTCCACCCAGCGAGTGCGTCAGTTGGAAGCCCTGCAAAATGATGGGCATTAGATATTATTAGCAGAAGAATTATACAGTAAGCATTAAGAATTTGTAATAATCATTACAAATTTTACAATACAATAAATTTTCGTTATTTATTTATAGGATAAAAATAATTTCCAATAAGTCATTTATTAATTTGTGGATATGCAAAACTAAAACTTTTCGAATAAAGTTTACTTTCTCCAGAACAATTAATAATATTAATTATTCCCAAAGTTTGTGTATATTGTGAATATAAAATTTACAATTTAATTATTTTGCCCAAAAAGTGTAATAAATATTATTTATAAAGAAAACGATTTAAATTCTTTTACTTACTGTAAAGAAACAATTTATGGTATTAATAAATACCAATATAAAAGACCTTATATTTTGTAAATATACAAATAATATTAAAGTATTTTAGTGCCCAATTTGCACATTTAATTATTATTTACAAAAAAGATTTTTTGACTTGAGTTAAAGTTTTTCATGAAGGTATAGAAATGAACTGTTTTATTATTTATTTTCAAAACTTGCAATTATTATTATTTGATGGATGCTGTATTTTCAAAATTATAGATATTTTTGAAGAAGAAATACCAACCTGCAGGCAGTCGCAGTTCTCGCACTCCTTGCGCACCACATCCAGCACATTATCCACCAGTTCGGCGCCCTCGGTGTAGTGACCCTTGGCCCAGTTGTTGCCCGCCCCCGACTGGCCAAACACGAAGTTGTCCGGCCGGAAGAGCTGTCCGTAGGGGCCCGATCGCACCGACTCCATGGTGCCCGGCTCCAGATCGAGCAGAATGGCCCTGGGCACGTATTTGCCGCCCGACGAGCGCGTAACGGCTAAAATATAAGAATTAGTTAATCCCATTGGTAGTATATGCTATTTAAGGGTCTTACCAGATGCCTCGTTGTAGTAGACACTAACGCGCTCCAGCTGCAGATCACTGTCGCCCACATAGATGCCATTGCTGTCAATGCCATGCTCCTCCGAAATAATCTCCCAGAACTGAAAACAGGAATATGCGAGTTGGTGAATATTAATACAAATATTTTTAAATATATTTATTACTGGATACATTATATATTCAACTCTTTAAAAGATCAATATAAAGCATTTACTTAAGCCTTACTTTCTGTAGCTAAATTTGGCTGTATAAAGCATTAATAATAAGGTCTTTTTGTTTCCAAGATGAAACTGATAACCATTTTGAGCACGTTTCATTTAAATTGTTTTAAAACTCGTTCAATTAGTAGTAATTAGTAGAGCATTATTCAGCTTAATTCCATAAAGCCAATTAACAAATTTCTTGGAAGTTGAGGAATGTATAATTATGAATTATAAAATCTGAACTTTTTAGTTGAACATTTATTTATTCCCCCCTTATATTATAGATAAATAAGCTAAAAATATTATGTATAATTTAAATCTTGAAGAAGCAAAAGTGTTATACAGCAAAGCTAACTATTTGACTTAAAATGGATTAATAATGCCATTCACTATAATCCTAAAATAAAAGAAGGTAAAATTAAAAAATATATATATTAATTAGCTCCTTAAAATCACAATGATGATATCAACAAAAGCTGCTTCTTAATGTTTAAACAAATTCTTAGTATAAGCTAAACAATGTTTATAACCATTCCCTCCAAAATTAGGGATATGAAGCTGCAACCCGCATCTTGGCAAGCTCCCTTATCTATAATTCCATTCAGGCAGAGATCACTCATCCTTATCATCCATCCCGCAGATATCTTTATAGCCCTAGTCGAGCACTTGGCGATTGCAATTTCTAAAGTCGGCACAAGGCCTTACTATATATTTCCGGAGTCGTTCATCAAGTTGAATGATTGTGCCAACCCAGCCATGTCAGAGTTCATGTTGAGCCTTGACATATGGCCGCAGCCACAGAAGCCGCAAAAAAAAAAAATATAAAACAAAAATATATTAAAACAATAACAAAAACTGGGAACAATTCTAACAATCTCTGTTCCTGCCTCCTCCGCCGATTCGACAATGTGACAATGTGGCAAACAACAAGGCGCAGTCGCAGCCTATAAAGTTTGAGGTTTTTCGGTTTTTTTCGGAAAAATACACCGAGGCATACACACATATGGAATATATATGGCCCATCCATATAGGGGGCCCTGCTTGGGGCATCAAAAGTGAGACAGATTGCCCCGAAAAAAAAAAATAAGGGAAGAATAAATTTATGTTTAGTTTTTCGAACGTCAGTTTTGGACGCCGGCGAACATGCCCTGATTTAGTGCTAAATTTAAAAGATGCGTCCGGGCCAGTCAGTTAAAAAATAGTGGCCCTCTCACACTCACTGTATGGGACTTGGGACAAAATCTCCACTCCACGGCGCTCCTGGGGAGAAATGCGCTTAAAAATAGACCAGCCCGTAGGTTGGGATGGGATGGGATGGTATAGCACTTATATGGTGGCTCCTGCTGACTCATCAGGCCAAAGTTTCGGGGGGAAGAACTTCAGGCCAACGACCCAACGGCGACAACATCATTAGACGCCCCATTCCAAAAATGAAAAAAAAAAACCCCATCGAAATGCGATAAATTGAGTATATCATGGATACACAAACCATCGCCATCCCGTAGATTTATTGAGGAAATGCTCTGCAATTGTTGTGCTGCGTTTAACAAGAACCAAATTTGGGCGCCTTTAGTTGATCATTAGCCCGACTATTTTTGGGGGGGATCAGTAGACTCTCCGTTGGAGCGAAACGCAGCTGGCTTGGCAACAAGCCCCAAGATTCGAAATTGGAAATTGGAAGTCCAAGAGACAGGGGAAATAATAAAAATGTTAGCGGATCCCCAGACACACACGCATTCCTGCGTTGTCTGAGTTCTTGTTTCCCTTTTGGCACTTTGGCACTTGAACTTGACGTGCGCGACTATAAACAAAAACAGCCCCCATCCCATTGGGGTTCCTTTTGAAGGGGAGAAAACTGGAGTTCTTTGTTTATTTAAACGAGGGAGAGAACAACAGAAATGAATCTCAGACCACTGCAATCTCAGCAAGATCATCAAATTTAATTGGAGTGTGGCCGCCGCTGCAATTATCAAGCTAACCATAACTCTAACAGCCGCAACCACAATGAAGCTCGGCTTAAAAGGCCGGACGGGCGAACAAACAAAATGAAAAATATGAAAACTGAATTAGCACACAAAACTGTTGAAGTGAAAAGTCGTTTTTCATTTACCCCCCTTTCCTCACCCCTCCCCATCCCATCCAACACTTCCTCTCATTTCCACTTTTTCACTTCTGCTAGCACGACCATCGCTGATCGCTTTACTTTTACATTCGACTAATTTCTCACTTCGGATTTTTCATTTTTAAAGATAATGGTTTTGTCGGAAAATGGCTTTTTCGGTGAATGTCAGTTGCAGCGGATGATGATGGTTGAGGAGGGGGGAGGGGAGGGGGTTTTGGAAAAGCGACACACAGTTAGATTGTAATTATAGATTAATGGCTTTTTGGCGAGATTTATTTCGGTGAAACATGATCGGCAGCAGGAATTCCATTTAGTGAAGAAAAGTCGTGTCGAATTCAATTTACGGCCTTTAAATCTTTCAGAGAACATTTCTTCAATGCAATGCCCCCAAATTTATAATCTCTTCCTTTACACTGATAACAATATGGAATAGTAAATATAAATAACTGACTATTGAATTTAATACTTTATATTCAATATTTAAATTAAATATTTAGTCAAAATATTAAATACAAGGCATCATAAATTGCAATAAATTTAAAATAGTTCCTATTTAATTCAATTGCATTTTATTTAAGGAACATATGATTTAAATCCAAATTAAATTTTCAGATATTAAAATCAATTCCGAAAACAGTCAATTGAAGATTACAAAAATTTTTAATAAATAATATTTAGACTTACTATGTTTAATTTTTAAGTACTATATAATTATCTCTAGACCAACTCAATCTTAAATATAAAATACTTTTCTTGGGATACCTACTTAAAGTTAAATAATTAAGTTAATAATTCAATTATAAATAATTTTATTGAATTGAACATTTCATATTGATGATTTTTTTTAATAAAATGATCTCAATTTAGAAATTTCTGGACTTATTGTTTCCTAACTTTTTTCAGGCGAGATGGGAATGATCGATTGATGTGTTTTCTTTTTTTTTTATAACAATTTTATTATTGTTTTTCTAGCCCAATAGAAATAAAAACGTACTTCGATTACTTTTGTGAATTAGTTTTCCCTGGGTTTTCCTCGAATAAACTCTTTTCCAATTACCGGCAACATCTGTGCTAACAATTTCGTTTGGCTTAACTGCTGCGCGTCTATTCTTTTTTCGTGTAATTAATTTGAAAAGCTCTGCTGCCTGGCAACTGGCCTGGTCTAACCTCCTCCCCCCCTTTGGAGACCTCCGTCCTCCCACCCCCCCGTGCCACGCCCCTGCCCCGGCATGCGATCATGGGGCGACTGGCAATCGAGACGCCCTCATTAAGTGTTGCATGTCTGGGAGCCGCCACGAAGTAGCCACGACCAAGATGCACTTCTTCAGCGGCCCAGCCCCTCGACTCTTTGAGTCTTGCGGAGTGGGAATCACTCGGGCATGAACTTGGAGCCAGTCTTTCTTTCCTTCCTTCCTTTCTTTCTTCCATACGGGGATCGTTGGCTATGCAAAGAAAGACAGAGAGTGGTATTTTCACAAGATACAAAACATTTGGCATCAAAAGGAAATTCTTTTAATTGAAAGGGGGGCTGGCCCCCAAGCCACCAAAGCCATCAAAGCCACCAAAGCCACCCAAGCCACCCACTTCATCCAATGGCGGGCATTTGTCTTTTCTCGCAGCTGCTGTGGAGTGTCAAAAAAATGCGATAAGCATTCCCGAGTTTATTGACTTCGGATCTCGGTTGGATGGCCTCTTCAATTCTATTTAATCTCGCTGGCCCAAGTACATTTAATATGCAATAATCGTCGTGTTGGAGGCTAAAAAGGGAAACAGAATTTCATATATATGTCCCGATATCCTGTAACTGTATACAGGACAGCTACCGTGAGTCACTTCCTTTTTTTTCCTCCTGCACTTGTGCGGTTTTCGGACTGCCCATCTACACATATTCATGTGCGTGGACTTGCCCCATTCTTTTTTTATTTAAATGTCCACTCAGCTGTTAGGTTGTTTGGTTTTTTTTCATTTTTTTCTTTTTTGGGTCTCACATTACGGGGATGTTGACTGCTCAAATTACCAAGACACAAACTTCCCATCATATCTCATTCGTGTACGTAAACGACTGTTTTTCGCTTACTTACCGCCGAGTGCGATTGCTGCCCCATAAAACCATTACTATTGCCGAAATTCCGGGAAAGGCAAAAGCCAAGCGAGTTTGCTTTTAAATTGAAGCTGCTGACTAGTCAGTCGTCTCATTCTCATTCTCATTCTCATTCTCATTTTTCTTTCCCAAATTGACTCATATCAAATGATTAAGATTTGCTGGCTTATCTTTTGTGTACTTTAGCTGGCGTACTATTTTATCGCAACTACGCTAGGCATACTATATATATGACCCACTTTGCCGGGGGTGATGATTAGAAATGAATCGAATCGTTAGGCATTGACATTGATGCCACTGAAAAATGCACTCAGCGGGGACCCACTAGTCCGAGTCCGAGTCGCGATCCAAAACTGGTATTGCCAAAAATCGAAAAGAGTCTGTGGCAAGTTAACTGGTTAACTGCCTGCCTCCTTTTTTTTATCGAAGAGCTGCACTTCGGATTTCGGGGCGTGCTGATTGAGTGGACTATCCCATATATATTTTTGCGATAATTGAGAATGCTCAACTGGAAATCAGAACTTAATTGCTCCGATTCGTTTGCATTTCTCAAGTTTCCGTTTCTCGTTCACTTTGATTGATTAAAGCCAAGTAGTGATATCACTGTTGAACTTGCTGATCACTCACTATATACACTACATGTAATTCGAGTGGATTTATAAGCCGAGATCGCAACAGCTGCATTTTGATTACTATTTACTGTTCAATAATCATAGAAATAAATATTTTTGAGTACCTTATACCAGTTGTTTCGCAGGAATTTGTGCTTTATTTCTGGCTTAAATGCATCTACAATCATAATCTTTTTTAAAATAATAAATATTTATGTCTTCAGTTAATGTTCATTGTTATTTCTAAATATTATTGTTAATAAACCTAGTTTTATCGCCTTTAGCATGGAAAGCCTCTTATAAATATTTATACCTTTCGGTCTTACTTCCAACTTTCAATGAGTAATTACTCTTTAAAATGAAGAAAAGTTCATTTGCCAAAATAAATTTATAATGGCCATGCTGGCCATTATTCGTACGAATAACTACCTATTTTTATTGCAATTTTTTGTGGTTTCTTGAGCGAGTGCAGGAAGCTCAAGCAAAGCGAAAAGATTTCTCCAGCCAGATTGTTCGAGAGATTTCCCTTCCTGTCAATTTCAAAGGCAATGGCAAAGTGCAAGGCAGCGAAGTGAGCTCGAAATTGCAGAAATCTTGAAGTTTTCTTGCTGATTTGCGCCTTTGCCATAATTCTGCCTGGCCATTCCCCTACCAATTTCCCTCGGGAGGGTTTTTGCAATGAATCACTTTTCGTGATCTGCAGCCGGCCCAACCCGTTTTCTTTTTTTTGATTTTTATTTTCTTGTTTTTTGTTGTGCGAAACCGAAAGAAAGGGCATTTTGAGAGCCAGACAAACTCCAAATATATTTCTGCGGCTGTCCACTTTTTATGCACTTTGCATTTTATTTTATCGCATTTTTTGTTGTTAATTTTCTTTTGCTTTAATTGCTGAATGCGCTGAAAAAGGCGGCGACATCGAACCGCGCGACTGAGCCCGATCATTTTGGAAACTCATTGAAAAACGTTTTCGGTCAATGTGAATAAATTAAGTGGTCAGCCAAAAAAAAAAAAAAAATTAAGAAAAGCAAAATAAAATAAAATAAAATAGTAGTGAGACTTACCTTAGCGCCAATTTGGTTGCCGCACTGGCCGGCCTGCAAATGGACGATTTCTCTCATTTTCGGACTCGAGATTTGTTAGGTCAAAAGGCAGAAAGGCAGAAGCTGCGTCTGGAAATGGATCTCAATGTGATGGATCTGGAGGAAGATGCACCGCACAGTCCGAGTATCTTTTGCTGGATTTTCAGAACGAAGGCGCAACTTCACCGCGCAACGCACAAGACACAACTGATCGGCGGACCAAGACTCGAACTCGAGTAGTCGCAGTCCGTCGACGATGTTCTGGTGATTTTTGAGTCGACTTGCGACTTGAGTGCCTGCCTGCCAACAACGGTGGTCGAAGCGAGAGGGAAGATCGCACTTACACAGAGGCACTGGCGCACCGACACGCACACAGATACACACACACACACACTCGCTCGCACAGTGGGAAAAATGCGGAGTTCTCCAGCGAAAAGCTCTTCATATGGCAGCTCTAATTTTAATAATTTCTTTATCTTCCTACTTAACATTTTTAATTATTTAAAAACATAAATAGTTAACATTATATCGTTGGTACATAAACAAAAATGGTTATATTATAGTATTTTGTGTTTAATAATTTAAGAACTAATATTAAATCATAGGTTAATCATCCTATTAAATCATGTTTTTCAAAAACTTATCACCAAGCTTAAATGACACATTTACTTTAACTTCGCAAAAATGTTATTTTTTTCTTAAGCAAGATAAGTGCTTTGTATATGTAAAACAAGTTAAATTTTGATATTTTGTATGTGTCATTAAAGCAACCTTATTTTTTTAAAAGCTAGTTATTCGCTAACACCATTAATTTTATTTAATATTTATTTGTAACAAATTAATGACAAGTTTATAAAAATATATTTATAATAAATTATTTATTTTTTAATTCTTAAGAGCAACTTGTAAATAATAATACCAAACTTTTAATCAAGTTCCATAACTTTCAAGTAGAAAAAACCGATTCTAATTTTAGAGGTTCAACAGTATTATGATTTGGCTAAAAATATATTCAAAGTGTAGGGGGTTGACATGGGGTGGTCTCAAATCATTTTTGGTAATTGGAAAGTTTATTCCTCAATCGGCGGAAGTTAATAAAAAGTTTTGCGAATGGGGTTGAGTCACGAGTTACCTCATGGGGAGCCCAAGTCACTCTGGCAAGTGTAAATCGGTGCAGCCTTTCGGTTTCATTATTAATTTCGATTTGGTTTATGCACTGCCAGTATGGAAACACGCATCTGCATGGGCATTAAGCTGTTCGTCTGGCACCCCGCCGTCGTTTTCCTGTTCCTAAGTTCACACATTTTTACGCTGTCAACTGCAGCGACTTTCACGTTCTAATTTTATCCGGCAGAATGCACAGGTATGCAACTCCCCGACTTCCCGACCTCCCGACTTTCCGACTTTCCGACTTCTCCGTACCCGTTTCTATATATCTATATCTATATCTGTGCCTTCGAATCTCAGACTCTTACGAGTGTGTGTGCATCCGTTGGCTCGGTGTGTGCACTTCCACAAAAGTGTCACCGCAGTCATTAGAAATGTTTCGTCTTCTTACATGTGTTCTTGCCTTCGTTTTGGAACTCCTAATGCACTCGGGGCAAAGAAAAGCGAGATGCAGGGCATGGGTATGGTATTTTTAGACAGACTCCGGCTGCGCTGCTGATTTTTCCCGACTCGCACAGTTCGGGGATTGGGATTGGGATTGGGATCTGGTGCGACGTCAGTTTCCCCATTTCCTTGGAAATCAATCAATGCCCCGATGCAAAGACAATTTGTAGTCGTTTTACTTTCTAATTGCATTCAAGTTGAAAGAGCAAGAGCAAGAGCAATGGCAAGAGCAGCAAGCCTAAGTGGGGAGGAAAAAATGACTTCGATCTCGATTCCGAATCCGAATCCGATTCCTACTCCTCAAGTGCCTCTGTCAGGCCTATTTTCATCTCTGGCAGTCAAACCGCAAAATTCACTTTAATTTCGATGGCAAAACAAGCATGGTGAAGCGAATCGTTTGCTTTGCTCCGGCTGCACTTATATCGCTCCACCAATCTCTTCCTTCATATCTTCTATTCCTCTGTTTTGCTAAATTTAAATGCACCACAAAATAATCTCGAATTTACGAGCTCGAATAGACAAAATGTTATACATTCATGCGCAACAAGAGAACTACAATCTAAGTGCTCAATGGCGACAATCGCTCGCATCTCGGAAAGGAGTGGGATTTGGCAGAAGACAACGGGGCAGAAACAAAGTTGTCCAGGTCTTCGGTCCAATGCGAATATTGTCCACTTTTTTGGTTGGCCAAATGGGTTTTGTATGAGAAGTAGGAAATGAAAAGGACATCGAAAACAGAAGTTGTTCCAAACAATATGTATGAATCGATATTAAATAGTATTTAACCACAATAAGGATTTCTTTATTTAATTTGTTACATTTTCTTGCGTTTTTCAACTTCAATGTTAGCTATTACAACTTTAACTTATATTTTTCATTCGATTTCTAACAGAAATTTAGTTATTAATATTGGAAAGCAGGTCTATAATTTGATGCATATGATTCCTATGAGCAGAAAATTACAAGACCTTTATGATAAGATTAAAATAATTGTTAATTTAGTGTAGATTAAATTCCAAAAAAAAAAACAGAATAAAATGCATTCCAATTATTCCTGTTATATCCGTAAAAATTTGTTTTATTGGCCTACAGATTTAAAGTAACAGGGAATATTTGGTGCTGTACTTACTTTTATTTTCTAGTGTTATAGAAATTCATGACCTCGAGTTTTTCACTTCGATTTATGAAATTAATTACAAGGTCAATAAAGACAATACAGTTTTGCATTATTATTTTTTAAAAATTTAACATTTTTGTGTTGATCCGAATAAAATATATTAGTCGAAGAATAATTAACTGACTGATTTCTACAAAATGTTATTATAGTAACTCTATAAATAGGTAAAGATTTTTGTACTGTTTGAAAAAACATCGAGAAAATATATAACTTTGCATATAAACTTACCTGAAAGCTGTTTTTGAAGCTTAAGATATTTGTAGGCTGTCAATTTAACCTTTATTGAGGTTCTTATAGGATTAATTTTTTATTTTTCTCAAAGAGCAGCGTAGACTAAGTTGCCTCCGAAGAAACTAATGCTCAAAAGTATGGGAATTACAGCATGGATACATGGGCATTGTAAAAGGACTCCTGCCTGCCGTCAATCGGGAAGGACTACGCTTATGTCGCAACAGGAAACTCACTCACGCACACTGTTGTATTTTCACAAAGCCCACCAATACCAACGGAAAGCGGTGGCCTGCACTTTGCTATAAGTGTGTGGCTGTGTTTGGGTGTGTGTGCGTGTGGTCACCCCCCGTGCATTGGACCATGCCCATCGTCCTGCGTCCTTCGTCCTTCGCCCCTGGACCCTCACAAAAAGTAACAAATGTTTTTTTAGGATTTGTGTTTTGGGAATTTTTGCACTTGTGTAAATGTAAGCTTTGCACACGCACAAAAAACACCCGCTCGCACACACAAAGCCACACATTTAGGCAAAAATATATGTATATAATACAAATTTGTAGCCAGCATTTGTCTTTTTTCGTATTTGCGCATTACCATAGTTAAATTTATTCGCATATAACACATAAATATATATATTTTTGCGTGTGCAACAGTGTAAATGTTATTATCGTGTTTACATAGTCGCCCATACGCAGGCAATTAGGTTTGATTGATTTGCCCAGAACGACGAATATTTAAATTTCTTTCGCAGCTTTTCATCTCTTAATTGCAATTTATAATTGGCATTTTAATTTCTGTTACTGACAAACCTTTTTTGTTCTACGCAATTTTTATATGAAATTAATTTCGGATAATTGCATTCTGGTTTTCGATGTGTTTTTCTTTTTTTTCCTTCTTTTTGGCGTTTTGTCGGCCGCTTTTTGTGTCCGTTGGCAGCATTTTAATTGAATTTGATTGATTTTTGCTGATATTGTTGATGGAAAAATAATATTGTTGTAAAATCATAACAATTCTGTTTGAGAGGGTTGGAAGTGGAACCCCGTGAGCTACAATTTTATCTGTGGACACAAGCCCTGAAGCTTACGAGAATTGAACAAAGCATAAACACCTGTGCAAAATGGTGTACTTTCAACCCTTTTTTTTTGTTTTTCTTTAAATTTTTCTGCCGCGGGGAAGATATTTAAAATGTAGTATACTGCTATGGATGAATTGTAAAATATTCTTAAAATTATAACTTATAGTAAAAGAAACTTTTAAAAAATATTAAGCAAAAATAAAGAGTGCTCAAGTTGCTGTCTTCTTACCTGAGCTCTATTAAATTAAAACTTAGTTATTACAGTAATTTATAACTGACTTCTCTTCAATTAGTAAAGAATTGTTAAATTGAAAACATATTTTTAAGCTGACAAAGTTAGCAAAAATATCAACAACAAAAAAGTTTTCTAGTTTGTCACATTTCTCCTGGACCTTTTTGAAATGAAAACATAGTTCACCAATTTGAACCTCACTCACCCCTTCAATTAGCCACCGCCGCAAAGTTGCAACTTTAGCTTGAAATTTATGCAACTAATTTTTCTCATACTTTTTTATGCAAACCCACCGCTTGCCTTGCTAACATCTGCTGTTCCTGCTGGCCAATAGTTTTTGCTGCCAATTAGTTGTTTTAATTGCAAAAACGTTGCCAATTATGCAACACGAGGCGGGACAAGCAGCAACAAGCGTTGCACCGATGAAATGACAATTTAATTGTTATGCCCCGCCCCGCTCCTCCTGCCGAATCCATCTAAAATGCCCATTACTTCCCCGAAATCGCGCATACGCCATGTGGCCGCTGGCTTAAATTGCCCAAGGAAGACGTTGCACCTTTCCAGCGCCAACAGCCAATCTCGAGAATATGCCCTGCGTTTATGGACGAACAGCCGCAGCAATTTCAATAAATCTTGGCAATCCCCTAAAAATATTAGCATAATAAAAGGCGCGACAACAAAACAGAAGGGTCAAGTCAATATCGGGAGGACTTCCAGCGCATTTGGCACATTTACACAGACAGGCGGCAGCAGCAAAAGCACAGCCAGAAGCAGCAGCAGCAGCAGTGACAAATTTATGTCAGCAACAAGCTATCAAGCAACTGGGCTACAACCACCCACCTAAAACCGCCCCCCAAAACGACCTTAATACGCATAATTTGGGAGGAGCACAAGTGGGAGGCCTTGTCATATAATGTGCTGCAGGCTTCGATCAGCAATAAAAATTCAAATTTTGCACAGAGCGCACAAAAATACCCGATGTGAAGCGAGGCTGCTCTTAAATCAATACCCTGGAGTTAAGACTAGTATGATTAATAAGAGATATTTTAGGTGTTTAAAACATAAATATAAAAATAAATATAAATTTAACCCTTTGATTGAGTATTTTATGGACCGATAGCTGAAGAAACTTTGTTTCTTTTTTTTCTATTTGTTTCTTTTATATATGATATTTATCAGGTAAACAATAAATTTAATTTGTTTAAATTTGGTGTAAATAATTAATATTGCTCTGACTTAAGCACTAAAAAGGGGGGCACAGTGATAAATAGGCAATTTAGTAATAAGAATAAGTCTTAAAAACTTGATTATCATTTTTAAAACTCAAGGTGTAAGACTAACACTATTCTCTAGGGAATAAAATACTCCGTCTTGTAGATATGAAAATATGCATTCTATTTTTTCTCCTCTACTTTCTCGTATTAGATAATGTGTGTGATTGCATGGATATGTAGATGTTTCCGCTTCTCGCCTACATATAAACATTATATTGGCCGGGTGGGGAAATCGGCGCTCAATGCGATTCAGCTCGGCTGAGTTGCCGCCTTCACATTTTCGCCAATTGGCCAACAAGTGTTGCCAAATTGCGTTGCGGTTGCTGGCCATAAATAACGGTACTTTTGTCATTTATACACATAAATTGCAGCAGACGCTGAAACGCGAAAAAACGAAAAAACGAACGAACGAACGAAAAGCTTTTCCCAGTAAGCCAGTGCAGGAGAACCGCTGCTCTGGCCATATCCTGCTTTGGTGTTGGACTAAAAAAAAAAAATGTGGAAATGGAAAACAAAGGCCTACGCCTCCTGCCATTTGTCCAGCCAGGATGCCAGGCTAGCAGGCTATCAGGATACCCAGCCAATGCCCCGCACTAACGACATTGGCGACACAACGCAGCTGGCGCTTGCCATTTGGCAATAATTGTTTAATATGCGGGCGCATAAAGGCGGTCGCCCCATAAAAAACAACAACAGCGGGATTGGGGCAGCGCCAGCTGTGAGCCTTCAAAGTGAAATGGCTAAAACCCCTCTCCCTCTCCCCCTCCCCTTCCCCCAGAGAAAGCAGCTCACACACGTGTGTCCTGTATCCTCTGTCCTCGTGTCCTGTGGTCCACTGCCAGTGGTGCAGCTGTCACGTATTCCCTATCAACTTGATTCGACTCGAGGCGAACTTTCAGTTTGCAAACAAACAAGCAAATGGCAAGTTGAAATGAATAGCAGGAAAAGTTTTGAAAAAGCCACGGTAAAAGTAATTGCGTTACAAAATGCCAATGCGGATTGAGGCGCCCGAAAGTATGCAGCATATTGGCGCAACCGAGTGTAAGCCGACTGCAGTTAATTACAAAACTGTCAAGTCCAAAAGGTGCCACGAATCAACGGGGCCAACACACACACACACACACACACACACATACACACAGAAAGGCAAAGGAACAGGAACAGGAAGAAAATGTGGCCAAGAGAGGTGGAAATATGGCATAAACCAAATAGGCAGATCAGCCATATAAACAAACAAAAAAAAGCGAATCAAGCCAAACAAAAGGGTGGGCTTGCATTGTGTTTGAACTTCTGACGCCGTTCCTGCATGTGAAATATAATTTTGCCGTATTGTTGTATTAAATGATGTCAACAACAGCCGTCCAGCTGAGTTCGAGCTACGAGCTACGAGTCTCCAGCAGTCGAATGCCCGACCAAATCGAATTTAATTGCATTGCCGCCGCACGTTGGCTTTTAATTAATTTTTGCTGCCTTCTGCTGCTGCTGCTGCTGCCGTTGCTGCTGCAGTTCAGTCAGCGCCCCAAAAAGACCAAAACCAAACAAACTAAGCGCTCGCACACACACACTCCCAAACTCCCGCACTCCACCTCGCACTCGCATGCCAACAACAAACACAAACACAAGCGACAGTCGAAGCTCGACAGGCCAACATCAAACGTCATGCACAGGTGCAATGTAATTAGCACGAACTGACAAAGCTCCAAGGACCCAAAGGACGGGCTGGGTGGCAGGGGCATGGGGCGGTGGCAATAGCAGTGCCAGTGGCAGTGGCAGTGCCAGTATGAAACATAAAAACAAAAGCAAGCAAAACCTTTAAGCCCAAATGCATACAAGCAAAAGCGGAGCGATCCGAACCGATTCTGGCAGCAGCCACAGCAAGTGGCAGAGCCAGGCCAAAAGGGATGCAGGGTCAGACCGAATATACAGGTGCTTTTAAGGCTTAGAAAAAGCAATACAAATAAATTTACTTTATAGTAAAAATTAAAAAAAAAAACTCCTTCGAAAACACTTAAGAAGTATATCAAATTAAATCTCATTCAAGCAAACACAAATATCTTATAATTTTGCAACAGGGGTTAAAGTTACCAGAGGCAATAATACTTAACGAATTTTATTTTCCATCATTTAAAATATTGTAACTAGTTTTCAAAAGATGTGTAGGCAATCTATTTTCAGAGATATACATGTCCAATTTTATAAATTTGGCACATGATAATTTGGCTAAATGAAGACTCATCTTGTTCCGAACTATCTTTCGGCAACAAAAATTGTCTATGAAATGTGGCAGAAATTTTTTAAAAAATAATTTAAAATCTTCAAAGACTTAATAAGCTTACTACATTAAAATCATTTTTAATGGCTGAAATTTTTAACATATATTTAAATGTTTTTAAAGTGAGTAAAGTGAAGTGTTCAACATTAAAACAGACCATACAAATATTTTTAATTTAAAATACCAATCCGTCACCATAATTACAGCAAATGGCTCTATAATAACAAAAAAACAGTAAAAACTTTGTATAACAAAACTAAATAAATTTTTTTAGCAAACATAATAAAATTCCAAAAAGAAACTAATTTATATAACGTTATTCAAAAACCCAAAAAATCATATATACCAAAAGTAATCGTAATCATACTTTGTAACTAACTTTAAAACAACCATACTCGAAGGTTAAGTGGCTAATACTATGTTGTCCTATGTTAGCTTTAGTTTTGCAAACTATATTATCAAATATAAACAATAAATAGAATACAAAGATTTTAATATTAGGTTAAATATCAACACTCGCCTAAAAGTAGATTATTAAAATAAGGCAGTCTTCGTATAGTCCTGTCAAGGAAAGGAGATTCACTGGAAACGCAAGCCAAAGCCAAGATTAAGTCGGGCAATCAATTTGAAATACCCCATTTCGGCAAGGGTAAAACGAACGAAGGGCAACAACAGCAACAGCAGCGGAAATACACTGGTGCCCGTTTGGTCGTAGCTCCACTGGCAGCGTTTTAATAGCTTTGGAATTTCAATGGCAGCTGTGGCGCCGTCGCCGAGCCACCGGCCTTAGCCACCCAATGCCGCCCACTAAATACCAACCACCACCCACCAGCCACCGCCTTCCTGTCCACCCAAACGCTTTCTAAATGAGCCCAAAAGGAGCAGGACGCAGGACGCATTCAGGACGAAGCGGCGAACAATGGCAGCGCCCGACGTTCTTGTCGAACATTTCGAAAAATTATTGAGAAATTTTTAATTTTCCCACTTACGCAGGCCAGGCGCACGCGAAGTTACAATTACAACAACAACAGCAGCAACAGCAACAACAGGAGCAGCAGCAACAGCAGCAACAGCAACATCAGTTGCCTGTTGGTGTCAGCTGCAATGGCAGTTTTTGTTGTTGCCTTTATTGTTATTAGCTATGCGAACGTATTCATGCACTTCTGCACCCACAACTGCCATTTTGTTTATGACATCGACGATGGCGCCGCGAAAAAGGAAGGAGGCGGCGGAGGAGGAGGGGGCGTGGTTTTGGCAGCTGCTGCAGCTGCAACTTTATGTGCATTTTCGGCATACGCATTTTACTTTGTATATTGCCCATCACAGGATCTCTGGGGAAACTTCTATATATTCAAAATAAAGTATTCGATTCTCAATGGCAATTGAAAAATGACTTTTCTGTAACTGGCCAAATTCTTAGCAGATCTGAAAACTGAAATCGACTTAAAAAAATATTTAAATTCCATTAAAAGTCCTAGAAATCGAAAAATTATCTTATTCTTTTATTTAAACTTTGAAAAGCTTAAAATTTTTATGGTAAATCATCAACAACATCATTTACCATTTTGTATTTAAAAAAAAATATATTTTAATACCAGTTAAGATTTTATAAATCAAAAAATGGTCTCTATCTGTTGCCCTTTGTAACTTTTAGCCATCGAAAAACAATTTATCCCGGCATATATAAAAAAATCAATACAAAATCTTGAAAATCTAAAACATACACCTTTCATTTACATGCAACAACGAACTTTTAGGACAACAACAAATTTCCGGGACAACGAAAAAATATCAGAACTTTAATTAAAATGCTCTAACATGCAGCAACTTGTAACCATCAAGCTTTTACAAAGGACTCCTTGATCACACAATTTGGATCAAGAAAATATTGAAACCTAAATTAGGATCCTGTAAATCTAAGAGTGGACTAGTAAACTACCTGCAGCAACTTTTAGCCATCGAAGAACCTTTGGCATCCAAGGAGCAACACCAACGTTATTTTCTGCTCCTGCAAAATGGCGCCCAGCTTTGTTTGCCATTTCTTCGTTTTTTATGATTGCCTGCCACAACTTTTTCGCCATTGGCATCGATATTGGTGGCCGTCGTCGCTGTTGCAATGGCGATGGCGATATAGCGATGTTGCGATGTTGCGCTGTTGCGGTTGCAAGACCTTGTTGTTTTTGGCATTGTTTTGTATGGATTTTGCACATCGTTTATCTTAGGCGACGGCCAACGAAGTCGCAGCTGCCGCTAGCGAGCGGAAATGGCGTTAATGTTGCAACACCAGCCACTGCAAAAGTAGCAGCGCAACGGCAACAGCAACGGCAACTGCAGCAGCTGCCAATGAGCGAGAACTTAATCTTGGGGATTTAACACTTTCGATATATCTTGTGGCGGTAGCAGCATCTTCTGGCCGTAAAACGTATTGGCTCCCATTATCGGTTAAGCTGCCATTTTATGGCCAAGAAACGCGTCGGGCTTTTCGGCCCGCGTTTGCGTTGGAAACAACTTTCTCACTGGCATTTTTGGTATCAGTCCTTGTTTAAGTGTTAAAAATACATTTGGACACACACACACACAAACGTTTAGCTATATACACAGAGGAGTGAGTGGCTGGAATAAGAATTCGGTGGAGAAAGGGGCTTCAGAGTCCCGCCTTTCCCAAACGCAAGGCCTCGTACTGCTCCAGGCTGAGCTTCCTATAGATCCCGTCCCGATTCAGGTAGTATATGGGGTCCGCCAGCGTTCGGATGTCGTAACCCTCCTGGGCCAGCTCTCGTTTCTTCAGCTTGAAGGTGGCCGTGCGCGGAATCTCGTCCAGCAGTCGGATGAAAAGGGGGCGGGCATAGGGCGGCAGACTGCCCCTCAGCACGATGGACAGGTAATCCATGTCCACCTTGCGCGCCGGATCCACAATCGCTGCCATTCCGGCCTTACCCTCCACATGAGGGATCTGTAAAGATAACCGCAGCAAGATAGTGAAAATCGAGGTTTATGGGTATGTTTGAGGTGCTTTGTTATCTACTCTAGCTTGATTCAGTGGTGATTCAGCGCGACATGGGTAGTTCCCTCGGCCACACTTGGAGAAATAGTTATAAACGGAAAATATTTCTGATTTACTGCAAGTTATTATTGTTAATAGCTAGCAAACAGCAATCAAGAAAATTGTGCTTTATTTACTATATGTTAGGATGTGATCAAAAAGTAATAATACAAATTATAAATTCTTCACTTTCATAGAATATCATAAATACTTCAATGACACACAAACTTAAAGATAAGATACGCTTTATTTATGATTCACATTGTTACTTTTAATTAAAATTTGGAACTACATATAATATATGAAAAAATTTTTAAATATTTTCTTGATTTAATATAAGGATGTGATTGTAAATAGTCATTTTATAGTAATCAAGAAAATATTATTGATCTACTTTAAGCATGTGATAGTTGACAGCAATCATAAAGTAATCAGGGAAAGAATACTTTCTTTCTTAAGCTTTGACTTAAGTTGCCATAAGTTGTCGGTCTTATGGTTACAATAGGCATTGTAAAGTAAATAAACTCTAATGGCCAACTTGTATTTAATTTTCTATTTAAAGTTTAAATGAGATTGTGAAAGAAATGAAATTTCTTCCTATTCTTTCTATTACCCAAATATACACCACATTGTAAGGACTCACCTGTACACCGTAGACCACGCAATCCTCGAGTCCAATGCAGTTGGTGATGATGGCCTCCACCTCCTGGGTGGCCACGTTCTCGCCGCGCCAGCGAAAGGTGTCGCCCGTGCGGTCCTTGAAGTAGAAGTAGCCCAGGATGTCGCGCACCACCATGTCACCGGAATTGAAGAAGACGTCGCCGGCGGAAAAGACATTCCGCAGCAGCTTCTGTTCGGAGGCACCCTTGTCCGCGTAGCCGTGGAAGGCACTCACTGCCCGCCGGGCATCCACTTTGCCCACCAACAGTCCCGCCTGTCCCGGCTGACACCTGATGCAGTGACCCTGCGCGTCCTTGATCAGCTCACCCGTTTGCTCGTCGCAGCGCAGGACTTGCACGGGATAGAGCCTCGATCCGTAGACGGGCACAAAGCCAATGGCTCCCACGCGATTGGTGATGTTGATCAGGTTGGAGTTTCCCTCGGTGGCCCCGTAGATCTCGCCGATATGCGGGATGCCGAAACGATGGACGAACTGCGACCAGATCTGTGGCCTCAGTCCGTTGCCGTACATCAGGCGCAGGCTGTGTTGCTGCTGATCGGGGGAGTAGGGCGTGGCCAGGAGGTAACGACACAGCTCGCCAATATACTGGGCCACTGTGCAGTTGTGGCGCTGGCAATCCAGCCAGAAGTTCCTGGCCGAGAACTTCTTGCGCAGCACCACCGTGGATCCATTTAGAATGGCATTGCCCACTCCCACAATTCCGCCAGCAGTGTGATATAAGGGCAGGGGATTGTACACCACATCACTGCTAGTCATCCTGAGCATATAGAAGGCTCCGGCGGACATGAACAGAAATCGCAGGTTGGTGATCACAGCCGCTTTGGGCAGGCCCGTAGTTCCCGAGGTGTAGACATAGAGCAGTTTCGATCGGGCCTCGTCAGGAGATTTAGAACTAGGCAGCTCCAGTATTTTCTGGTTCCGTAAAGCACTGCCTAAATCCACAGCTCCCGGCAGAAGATCATGTCCTGGAAGCCCCCTTAGCTCCTCGTCTGTATACTGATAGATGGGCAGCTCCTGAAGTTGCTCCTTTTCCCTAAGCGATTTTAGCACATCCAGCAGTTCACTGCCCACAATTATGGCCTTGGCATTGGCCACTTTGATGGAGTGCAGCAGAGATTCTCCTCGTAAATTAGAGTTTATAAGGGCCGTGATCACACCAAGTTGCGAGAGACCCAACCAAATGCAGGGATACTCCAGACGGGTTTCCATCAGCAGGGCCACACAATCGCCCCTCTGCAGACCTTGATCCTTGAAGTACCCGGCAATCTTCTGGCTTAGTTCCAAGGCCTCCGCAAAGCTTAGACTGCGATTGTCCATTAGAAAGCAGGTTTTCTTGGGACACGACTTGGCCTGCTCCTGAAAACATTGGGCCACGGTGCAACCCCGACGATCTCTCCGCATCAGATAGATATTGAGGGCCACAAAGCGCTGCAGCGCCCTGAAAAAGGTAAGCAAGTTAGTAAGATTTGACTGGCACACATATATACCCACATTAGGTCCCTTGAGCAGGTCATCACCAGGGCAAAGACGAAGGTGGGATTCCTTAGTAGAAGGGCCACAACTGCTCCCAGAGTGAGACTGGCCACCGCATTGTCCCAACAGAAGCTGGCGAAGATCAGGGTGGCCAGCAGAAGGGTGGCCAGCCGAGTGGCCAGCTTCTGCTTGAGGTTCAGCTCCAGCTGGATCTCCATTTTTCTGCCGCCAGCCTGTTCCTGATCCTCTTGATCCTGCTGATCGCCGCGTTCCTCGTTCGCGCTCACTTCGAAAGGCAGATGGCAGAAACAAACATGGTCGAATTAGTTATAAGTTACTCAAAACGGATGGAAACGATTGTTTTGACAGCTACGGCAAGGTATAATTTAGCAGTTTGAGTGGCTGCACCCTTTCAAGTTCCAGCAAATTCCTAAACTTGCGCCTAGGGCAACCGACTGCCAGCGACTGAGTGATAAGCGGACTTAAGCGTTGCCTGATATCGTTTCACCATATAGTTTGTGGATCGCAAGTGCTTATCAACGCGAGGTTTAAAAGGGGCCGACAAGGGGCAGTGACAAGTGGTTTAGGGTTTAGTTTATTCAAACCCAACTAGAGCAGTGACAATTGAGCGGGAGAGGTGTGAATAGTGTTTTATTTTAATAACTGAAATGGAAAGCCAGCTGTGGCAGCTGATTGTAATCAATGCTGTACTTTGAAACATTACAATATACATACCCCATATATAGTAATACTGCTGTGTGCTAATGATTGAAGACTAGTTAACTTAATTGGTTACCTTACAAAATAAAGCAAACTATAAATGAAATATAATTAACATTTTATGAACTCTGGTGAGAAAGTAATTAAGGGATATGCTTACTAACTTATGACTTTAATTACTTTAATTATTTTATTTTAAAAAGGTTTACTCCATGGCTGAAAAGCTAATTAGAAATTTTTGTAGGGAAATGTAACATTTATGACCTAAGCTAATGTTTTTTTTTATAGCGTTACCATTTTAATTGGAGGCCTCATTTGGTATGGAAACTTTTCGGATCAGTAGGTGAGCACTCGACATTAATCTCTCCGATGGCTAAGATTCGTTTGTCGGTTAAGTGGCTTCTAAGTTCACAAGATTATTAGGCCATAAAAACTGTGTTTGCCACTGAACCCACCCCGTTGCAAACAGCTGAGATACAAGCGTCTGGTTCTTTGTTTTGCCGGCTTATCGCGAAAGGCGCAAAACAATGGAAAGGTGTTTAGAAACATTGCAATTGCTAATACCCCACATACTTGTAATCGTAGTCCCCCTCAAGGGTTAAGAAAGCTATCAAGTGACAAGCCGGTTTCAAAGTTCATTGCTACTTGCGATAATGCCAACATGGGCTTGCTAGCTCAATAAAAGTTTGGATTCTACATATATGAGTTATGATCTGGCGTCTATGCTGGGGGACCTTGACTTATTTCGTATGCCGGGCACAGAGTTTTTAGAAGCCGTGTTCTGCGCACACGCACTTCTTGGCACCGGTTTCGCCTGGCTGGCCATGGAATTGGACTCACTAACGATTTACATGGCTCTTGTTCAGTGAGTTCTGGCGCCCCCATGCCATGATCAATGTAATTCACTTTTCAATGCCAGTGCAGCGCCCCCAAATGACATACTTTTTGTCTAGCACGATCACAAACGGTTCTCTACACGGAAAGCAGCCACAACACGTAGATATATAGCACGAATGATCTGTACACACGACGTCGGATCGCTCAAATAACTGGCGCTGCGATCGGGAGCGGGTTTTTATACCCACAGCCATGCAAGTCGTCGCCACGAGAGAGACAATGCTATGTACATTTGATATTATAAAGTATTCCTTAAACAAAGAGAGTAAGAGCGCATGTGAGAATCCAACACAGCCTCCAAAGCAGATAGCAATGATCGGAAATCTTTGCTGGAAGCTTTTAAGATAACAGCGCTCTGTAAACTCGCACAAAATGTAAATTATTCAAAATATAATGATAAGAAAAAGAAAAAAACCAAACTATTTTCAGCAAACTGAAAAAACTGTAAAAAGGAGGGGGTAACCAAAATTACACTCTAATTTATAGTAATTTATTTAGAAATCACTTTTAAAATATTTCTAAGGTCTAAATTCAACATACATATTTATACTTTAATATATAATTATAAATACATATAAATACAAAGTCCAAAGTTAAACCACTTTCTTCTCCAAAAAACTGTATGTTTAACACAAAACACAAAAGTATTAGAAATATTAAAATGTAGCAATGTAAAGTAAACCGCCACTTCAAATTGCTTTGCAAAGTCAAAGTTTTTGGCATCTTATTTTGCTCTTTCCACCTGTTACAGTGATTTGAAATTTTTTAATTAAGCATTTCTTATTTGCTAAAAAAAACAAAGCTGTGAAGTAATTTCCGTTCTCTTTCTCCCTCTATCCTTCAGTCGCAGGCGCCAACAAAAATGCTGTGAAAATAAATTAACATAGGGCAGCGCTGCCCTCTGCCGGCGTCGGCGTTGGCGTTAACGTCGACGTCGCTTAGCTGTCAAATGCCGGCAGCACAAATATAAAAAATATGTGCATACTTTCGGGCGGCACATATAAAAAATGTGCGCATACTTTTTGGCAGCTTTTTGAGTTATCGACGGTGTGAGAGCGAAACTAAGTGAGCGCATATGCATGTGTGTTTGTGTGTTGGTGTGCCGGCTGTTCCCGCGGTTCTGTGTGTGTGTGCGTGTGTGTGGGCGCCTGTAATTGACACATGTTACGCGCACAAAAGCCTGCGACCCGGGGCTCAGTCCATCGTTATTATCGACAATGGCGCCGCCGAAAACACACACACACACACAGTTACAGCCATACATTTCGTCTCCCTCTTCCTCTTTCCCTTATCCTGGAGACTGCCTTCCTGTCAGATGCCTTTGCTGCACAGCCTTCCAATGCAGGCTCGCAGACACAGACACGCAAACTGGCAGCCTCAGTCAACTTTGTTTGTAGCCGGCGAAAACAAAACACTCACACACAAGCAGGCAGCACACACACACACAGATAAAGGAAGAAAGTCGAGTGCTCCGACCGTGAGATATCCTGTAGCCCAACTGTTACGAAAGATGTTGCATACTTTAAGGTAATTTTTTGGCGCTCGTTTTTCTTATCCTCTTAGGTGTCGGAAAAAATAGTAATTTCTATACACTAATAAAAAAATGGAATAGTAAAAAAAATGTCATACTATTGAAATCAAAATGAAATATTTTAAGCTAAAATTTAAAAATTTAATCATAATATTATATGCAATGCATATTAAATTTATTGACATTTAAAAGTACATAACTACATAACTACTACATAACTACATAGTTTAAGAAAAAATATTTGAAAGTGATTTAAATTAATGATTTGCTTTCCTTCTCCCTGTTGCATTAACGACCAGCTCCCCCATATACCCATGAACTCTACGATTTGGCGGGTATGAAAACAGACCCACACAATTTCACCGGCACAGCCGCTTGCTGATAACGTTAACGTCAGCTGTGCGGCACTTTGGGCCACACGTGAGTTCTGGGTCTGGTTCAGGGCCAAAGGGGGGGGCGGCTGGCCCTGAGGGCAGGGGAGGGGCGGGAGGTGGCCAGAGTCGTGCGCAGGCAAGCGTCAAACGGTTTGTACCTTAAACCCCCAGGCGACGGCATCCTTGCCGCACCCGCACCCCTCGCTCCCTGTATTTGGCATTTGTTTGTGTTGTCAACAAAAGTTTCTTTGAAATCAGTAACAGATGTCGATTGAAATGGCACAATTGCTGCCAGCTCGGCAACTCGGCAGCTCTGTAATGTCGAGCATCGCTGGGCGGCCGCCACTTATGCTGAATATTTTTATGCCAGACGCACACACAAGAGGGCCCAAGCCCAAGCCCAAGCCAAAGCCAGGCCAAGATATCCGGCGAGCGGGCTCATTGTGCGCTAGTTGCCTGTCACATTTTAATTAAAATTTCACCGCCCAAGTTTTAATGTTAATGCATTGGCATTGATTAGTACTGGAAAACAATATATAGGGGGGCGGAAATGGGCCTTCAGTAAGGGGTCACTCCATCTGGCGGAATGGAATTTGGAAATGTTAATTTCGGGTGTTGCAGGACTTTCATATGGCAAGCTAGATTTATATAAGAAACGATGCTACCAATTAAGTTAAACAAATGTTTAGCTTCGTTATTATGTTTACAAATATTGACTTAATATCAAAATACCCAAAATATAGCTTGAAGCCCTTTAAATAATATAAATTTGTCAATAGTAAATGTTATATATTTACCTACATATACAGCCTGGAAAAGAAATTTTATTTTTTTTTATTTTTTTAGCAATAATGAAGCAGACTACTAAAAAATCATATTACAAAATTATTAATAGTTAAGGTCATGAAAGGATTTAAAATAGAGTTTTCATTTTACTTTATCAAATGATTTCAGGATTTATAGAGCACTTGAGCCCTCAGCCTATGCCCAAAATCCGTTGACAAATATGAACATTATCTTATAGAATAAGAGGCAAAGGCAATTCTGCAGCCTTAGCTTTACTGGGATATATCTAATTAAGGGATTTGCAGGGCATCTAAGCTTCGTCCAGGGCTGTCATCCCTCTTCACATTGCTCCCTGTTGCCCTGTTGCCCTGTTTCCCTGTTGACAAGCTGCTTTCTGTGGGAGTTTGGCTTGTGACTGCTGGCGATAACAAACGATAACTGCATGTTAAATAGAAGCTAACGAAAGGCTACCCGGCACAAAGGGGTAATCGAGTGGTCTACAATGGGGTTGGGGAATCCCCGGGGAGATGGGAACAGCAGCACATGCAAACTGGAAGCTGGACGTGCAGCCATTTGAATGTGCAGCCATCTCACTCACAACCGGAAGTGGAAGTGGAAGTGGGGAGTGAGGAGTGCTGTGCTTTAGGAAATCACTCAGGTAGCAAATGCCACCATCATCATCATCATTGTTGTTGGCTGAAGGGTTGCAAAAAAGTGCACAGCATCTAGACAAAGGCAAAGTTAAGGCAAGCTGTCTCTGTGTGAGTGCGTGTATGTGTGTGTGTGTGTGTGAGTGGGTGGGTGAGCCGCAAGCCATGTGTGTGCGTGTGCAACAAATGTTGTGGGTGTCCTTGGGGGCGAAAAAGGAGGCGGTGTGCTGTAGGGGGGGACGTAGACTAACGAGCTTTTACTTGCTTGCTTGCAATGCGACAGCAGCAGGTGTGCCATACATGCACACAGCACAGGCACACACAGATACAGATACTCACCCTGGGCACACACAGATACTCACACCGACACACAGCACACAGCACACAGCACACAGCTGAGTGACGATAATTGAAATTTCATCACAGTAGTTTGTGGTTTTGTAGCACACTCACTTGCACACCCACACTAATGCGCTTTTCATGGCCTTCTTTTAGGCTGCCAATCGAATTGTTATTTTCTAATTCGTATTTAGGAATCGCTACGGCATTTCGTTTGGTTTAAAACACTTTATTTCTTGGGTTTTTCTTTGTCGTAGCCTTGCAGCCTTGGTTTTGTTGGTGTAACATTTACTTGGTATTTGTTTATGATAAAAGTACATTTACGTTTTAGTTTATAGAATACAATAAATACTAATCAATAAATTAAACTCATTCAATAAATTATCCATAATCATAATCATAATCATAATCATAATCATAATCATATCCGTAGTAATATACTGTATTGTATTAATAAAATCTACTATGTTCAGTTTTTTGTTTTTACTCGCTTTGGGTTTGCTTACTTACAGAATTTCACTGTTTATCAAGTGTTTGCTTTTTAATGATTTTACTTGCTTATGAAATCGTTAATAGTGTGCACATATTGTTAATAATATTTATGCATTTTACGTTTTTCTTGATGAAAGTGCGTATGGTAAAAATGGAATTTTCGTACATTTATTAAGTCACAGGTTGAAAATCGAGGGACATCTTAAATTCCCTAAGAAGTATTTTTTGAGTAATTTTAGTTGAGAAAACCTTTCTTTTTATTTTTGTAAGGAATACCCTTATACCCTTCAACCCGTTCGTTAATGGTTTTCTGCTTGAAATATGGAAATGTATAAACTCTAATGAAAATGCACATTAATCAGTATCTATTTATTCGATTTTGGATGTTAAGCATCATCTAGTTTTTTGTGTCTTTAAGTGACGATGCTGACAACACTCGTTTTTTTTTATTTTATTTTGGATTTTTGGATAACTCTATATTAGCTGCATAATTTTAAGTGTATATATGGTTTCTGTGGTTCACCCCCATTTTAATTTGACTAGCACAAGTACTTCTTCTTGGGTTTCATCATGCGAATGCGTCATTTGGAGCCCAACCCGTTGGCCACCAAAGCACCTGGTGTGGCAGCGGCCACAGCGGCAGCCGAGGCGCCTCCACCTCCTCCTCCTCCTCCGACACCACCTCCTCCCCCGACGACGCCTCCTCCTGCAGAGGGGCCACCACCACCGCCACCGCCCACTCCTCCTGCTCCTCCGCCGACAGCCAGAGGTCCTGTTCCAGGACCTCCGACAGGACCGCCGCCACTGGCAGCGCTGACCGCCTCACGGGCGCCCGCAGCAGCAGCCGCAGCAGCTGCCGCCGCCGCCTGCAAATGAGCCGCGGAATTGGGCGTGGGTGGCGACCTGGTGGCCATCGCACTGCGCAGACTGCTGGCCGAGTGCAGGTGCTTGGCGCTCAGCTCACTG